ATGCAGTCATGCAAGACACATTTTCTGTCTTATGGTCACTAGCTTCAGTCCACTGTGGCCTAATCTAACAAATGAAGTATGAAGCGTTGTCCTGCATTGCCTTGCCCTGAAGGGATTCCGATTGCTTCTATTTTCTAAGCAATGGATTTGGTGTGAAGGTCTTACCCTTCCAAAAGAATGCACAAAATTGGTTGGTTCCACTAACCCTCTAAACCATGAGTTCTTCAGCATCGTATGACAAATTGTCTTCAAATAGTTCGGAAGGCCCTGTAGCATTGAGTCAGCTGGTTTGGGACACGACATGTCAAGCGACTGTCAGGATGGTGGTGGCGAACTGGATGGACCTTGGACTTGTATTGCCGAGCAAATTCTTATATAGCTGGTTCAGGTCCATAAATCTACAGCAACTGTCTGATCTAATCTGGTCTTTTAAAGTGAGCTGAAGGGGAGAAGCTCAAAAGAAACAGATACCAAGTGAAGTTGAAGTAAAATCTACATGGGGACCTACTGGAAGGATAACATTTTCTGTCAAACAGAGAAAGAGGAAGAGGCAGATTGGACCTCGGTTCAATATGCAGAGACGTGTGGAGTAAGGAAACTTGCCCAACATTTTGCTCTGTCTGGGAATCGAACCCAGGTCCTCTCGCTTGCGAGGCGAGAGTGCTCTAACCACAAAGCTGCAGGACTCCATGAGCTTCAGTAGATCAGGCGTTTCACAGGATACATACAATAGAACACACAGCTGCTGAAAACTCGCTTTAATCTGAGCAAAAAACATGCCGTTTCTGACTCATCAGAACTGGAATGTAGCAAACGTTCAACGACTTGAGCTCAGTTACTATTTATCAGGGAATTCCAGATGGGATTTTAGAATTATGACAAGTCACAGATCTTTTGTGGTATTCTACATTTTCTTACCCGGCAGATAATGCCATTATCAGTGACATCCTGCTTTCAGCAACATTTCCTGTTTTCCGGATAGAGTTCAGGTCCCAAAATACAGTATCACTTTCGTTGGTATCAGTTTGGGAGAAAGGTCGAGAAACACAGCCAATTATCCTACCACGCTTGCCTTGCAGATAAAGTCAATAATGACATTTGCTGCAGAGTTCCTGTCCAATAGATAGTGTTCCTGGTACCAAATTCAGATTCCCTACAGTTCAGGGGTTCAAAATAACAAAGTTGCTCAGGCTGCTTCCTACTGCATCATTAGATAAAGCTTGTTGCAATTCCCTTTACCACAGTGTCATCCCGACGTGACACTCTTTATAACCATGATCCCATTTTACAGCTGCTGTAATAAACCAGAGACTGAGGTTAACTGGACCGACAGTCTAATGATGCAAGTTATACAATAAAAAAACAATAACCCTCGCATTTTACATAACGCCTTATCACATCTTTGAGACGTCTCAACAACAACAACCTGCATTTATAGAGCGTCCCTCACGAAGAGTAGCGTCCCAGAGCGCTCCACAGGATAAACTGTAAAGTGGATTGGCTGCATGTTTTGTGGGCGAAACGCGGCAGCCAATTGTGCACAGCGGCGTCCCGCAAACACTCGTGGATTGTCTAGTCACACGAACTTAAAACAGCTCCAATACGCACAAACACACTGCACCCATTAAGTGGTGGATATAATGGCAATTAAAACCTCTTTCCTCCTAAACATGTTGGCCCAAATGTTTTGAGACCAGTGAAAGTATGCTGGGGGGGGAAAACATGCAATCCACCTCACCCCTCTCTGCCCTCCCACTCAACCAACGCACCCACATGCTCTTCCCCACACAATTCTGCGGTGGATTGTGACCCCGACACACTTAGCACGCAGCAAATCTTTTCTTCTATAAGCTCCCACGATTGCCTCCTTTTGTCTGGCACCATCAACACATCTGATCTCCCCATCGCCTGTCCTCCACCTAATCTTTTCCTTTGTCTTTCTTTCCACACCCCCTTCTCTGTTTGCCCTTATAAACTGCTCCGTTCCAACCTCCCCCAGTTCTGACAAAAGGTCGTCGACCTGAAACATTAACTCACTTTTCTCTCTCCATAGATGCTGCCTGATCTGCTGAGTGTTCCCAACGACTTCTGTTTTTATTTCAGATTTCCAGCATCTGCTGTATTTTGCCTTACATTCAGCAAGTGGTCCTGGTTTAAAACGAAATAATCCATCATGTGATGTGATTAACGTAATCCCCCTGAACAATTTGTGGCGATACCTCTGTGTTGCTTTTCTTAGCAAAATAAAGTAATCTGCATTTTATAGAAATGGTCCCATTATTTAACCGTGCTGGCAAATAGAGTAAAGCTGTATGTAAGGTAAAGAGCACAAGCTACAGATAATAATTCTTCAGTCATGAAATTGGTCACTCGACTGCACAATCTGGTGCTCAGTGAAACCATGGAATAAGCCGCCAACATTTTCCCTGACTGTTCCTTTTGCTGCATGAATTTTGCTCAATTGAACTCCTCTCACCGAAATGTACAGCATTCGCTCGGCTGTGATAACTGAAACATTTTTTTCTTGCAGCTCACTGTAATGAAACAAATTATTACATCAATACTTTCAATGATGAAGAAATCCCAAACCCTTCCGAGTAACAAAGGAGCGTACTCAGCAGCCAGAGATTCCTGACATAGCGATACAGCCAACAAAGCTTCTTTTATACATTTCCCACATATAACAGTACATATTTAGGGTAATATGAACTTTTGCCACGATGCATCGCCTTTTCAGGTATGTCCACAGACACACCTCAAAAATCAATGTGATGTCATTTTGGAGTCCTGTAGCTTAGTAGTTAGAGCACTCGCCACGCAAAAGAGAGGACTTGGGTTCAATTCCTAGGCAGGGCGAGATGTTGGGCAAATTTCTTTACTCCACACGCCTCTGCTTACCTAGCAGTAAGTAGGAACCCGGTTGTTAGTTGACTGGCTGATCGCTTTTCCTGGGGCAATAAACCTTTCAAAAATAAATAATAATTTGAATCCACGACGGTTTGAGCGCAATTGGCAGTCGCGTTTCGCCCACACAATACACAGTCAATTCGCTTTACAGTATGCTAATGGGATTACTATTATTATCCTGGTTCCAGAGGACGCATCTCCACTCTGGAACCAAAACAAAATTTCCAATCAAACTCCAATAAAAACGTGCAACTTAAAAGATAACGGCATGACCCTATTCTAGCGCTTGAATTGCTCGTGCCACAGGAAGAGAGTAACAAAGCACTGTGCCTCCCTAGGAAATAAAATGGTGGGGGTAGGAGGCGGGTGGAAGGGAAAGCTCTCCGGCCTCAACTCCGCTTGCCCACGGACACATTTCTTGTAAGCGAAAAGACGTCACTAGAAGACACTCAGAAGCCCCTACGCTGGTTAATAGAGCAGACACGATGAGGAAGACAAGTTCCAGCTCAAAAGCCCCTTGAGGCACTGCTGTTTAAAATAGGAGGTCATGATATTTCAGTGTCTAACAGGAAGGTGTGGTGAGCCGATGGGTCTGCTTTGCTTAGATTCAGAGAGAGAACTGCCACTTGCGCTCGCTCCATCCACCTGCACACGACAGAGAACAAGAACAAGCACAAAAATCTTATAAGATATTCAACAATTGTTTGGGGGGTGGGGGGGGGAGTTAGAAAAACTGCATTTCACTTCTTGTATTCGAGGGTTTCTGTTATTTTCAGCAGATGTCACCCTTTGCTTTATCCCTCCACATGCAAGCTTTTGCTTAAAAATAAAGGCCACGCCCTCAAAACATTAGACACCAAACATTCTTAGAATATCCCGCTGACATCGCGAAAGCTGAAGGCATCAATAAATTACAACGCTGAAGGAGGGAAAGTTTAGTAACAATAATAATCCCTGCATTTGATATAGCGCCTTTGCCACGTCTTCGAGACGTCTCAAAGCGCTTCACAGAATATACCATGAAGTGAACGGATTGTATATTTTTGTGGGCGAGATGCGGCGACCAATTGCGCACAGCAGCGTCCCACAAACCGTCGTGGACTGAGTCACCAAATTATTATTGNTTTTTTAAGGGATTATTACCCCCAGAAAAGCAATATTATCATCTTTGCCACCTTCCTGACCTTCCTCACCATCGAGGCAGATTGGGAGCAGAGGTGACACAGCCCCGCAGGGACATGGAATGTCAACCCCAGGCTCCCGTTGGCAGCAAAGTCCGAACATCGACCAACCCTCAGGAATGTCACCAGTTTCTTCCCGGTCTGGAAAACCGAGCTGGGAGGGAAAGGAAAGAAAAGCAAACGCATAGTAGCGCACCAGAGACCAGCCCGCCTGCTCGTGTTAGTACTTTTCTTCAGTGTGCTTGTCTCTAGGCCAGTTTTAACAGCATTCCCTGGACTCGTATTGGTTATATTTGGGATACGTTTCACTCCTTGGAAAAAAAAGCAAAGGATAATTCTGGAATCTGAAGGGTGCTATTATAGATACTCAACGGGTTAGGGTAAATATTTTGGACAGGAAGAGTACTATTTGGAAAGAGGTGTGGGCCACTTTTACATGAGCAGCTGCACTGTGCTATCCAATATTTTCAGGCAGGCCGACAGGAATCTTTGAGAATCAACATTTCATCAAGCGATGCTTGAAATTCAACCAGAACAGACCACTTCAATATTTCTTAAGCCACGCGCGTAATGGTCCCAATAACGCTGCCGGTATTTATGCAGTTAGCCTTTCACAATAATAATAATCCTTGCATTTGATTTTGCGTCTTATCGTGTCTTCGAGACGTCTCAAAGCGCTCCACAAAATATATCTTAAAGTGAATTCGACTGTAATATTTTGTGGGCAAAACCCGGCAGTCAATTGCGCACAGCAGCGTCCCACAAACAGTCGTGGATTGAGTGACCAATTTATTATTATTATTATACTTTGAAGGAATTATTAGCCTGGAAAAGCGATCCGCCAATCAACTAACAACCAGGTTCCTACTTACTGCTAGGTAAACCGAGGCGTGTGGAGTATCCCCAATGTTTCGCCCCACCTGAGAATCAAACTCAGGCTCTCTCACTTTCGAGGCGAGTGCTCTGACCACTAAGCTACGGGTAGGCTGTACAAATGCAGACATTAGAATTCTGGATGCATTTCTCCCTCACACAGTGTCTGTCCTGTGTAGAGATCCTCAACACAAGCTATTTCACATTCACACAACAGTGCATTAAATAAGATGCTTTCGACGTTAATCTTCCCGACGCAAGATTTAAATTTGTTTCCGTACCAAGGTACGCAAAAGAGTTTGCGAGGTTCATCACAACACACATCTCCTCATTGCAAATTAACACACTGACAGATGCACTGCTGTCGCACTCATCAGAACATTCTCTTAAGCACAGAATTACACGGAAAGTAACAAGTACTAAAAACAAACCGAAAGCAAACAGTGTGCATGTTTTGCTTAGCTCAGTTGGTAGCACTCATCTCTTGAGCAGAAGATAGCAGGTTCTGAGCTCATAATCTAAGATGATACTCAGTGCAATTGCTGTACTACAGCACTGAAGTGCAGTCCTTTGGATGACAAATTAAAACAAGGTTCCATCTGGTGCATGTTAAAGATCCCATGGCATTACTTCGAAGAAAAGCAGCGAGTTCGTTTCCCTGATGTCCTGGCCAATAAAATATCCTCATCCAAAATTCAGCAAATCCTCTTCGGGGGGGAAAAAAAAATCCTTGAAGTCAATCCCAGGTCAGATATTTAAATACTTACTGCATTTCAGAGATTTCACCGTGCTGCAAGGAACCAAAATCTCCATTGTTTCAATCACAATTGTTCCAAACTTTGAGAACAATAAAACGCTGGAATTTTATTCCTCTAACCACGGCAGCGGGCACAGCTAGCACCTTTGTTGTTGCTGCACAAATACACCCTCATACCACAGCTCCAGGAAAATTCATAGTTTGCAATAGATTAATAGGCTTCTTCCAACTCTGTCCTGCACGCAACTCCTGCCGGGCACGTTTAAACCCTTACACAATTGGTTTAATGAAAAAAAGCACACAGCAGATGGGAGTTACTCCCAAGTCACACAAGCAAAATAAACCGCAACACTGCAATAAATAAGACCAATTTAGACTGTGTGCGGCATGACATAAGCCGGTATTGAGTATTTTCTGCAGATCAAATCTCGGCACAGAGGCAAAAAAAAAAAAACCCAGCACAATTCTCTTCGCCCAGATAAGGGTTCTCACTAATAGTCCATTACAGTCGCATCAATAATCACCAAACAATAATGCTCAAGCTCCATTTAGCAAAATTAAAATGAAGAGACTCGCTATCGGCAACTGCATCGGATTTCCTGCAAACAAAGGCACAAACGTCGCTTGTTCAACCTCTCTTCTCATAAGAGACAACTTTATCAAACAATTGCTTCAGCATTCACACCACTGCCGATATTAAACCTCACTCCATCCCGTCAGACACACTCACTCTCACATACTTGTACGGCTGTCAAATATTTACCCTTTTTTTTAAAAAAAACTACTTTCAATTTCATGGATGTTTCGGCTGAACGCTCTTCCCCTCTGGTGCAGCTACGGAAAAAAAAAATGCTTCTAAACTGCAACGACATCACATTTCAACCAACATTTCCTGTCCCCAAGTCTCGATCAAAGCCATCCTCTCGTTGTACCAACTCTTTCATAAGCAGCAGAGGGCCGATAAGATCAGCGCCATCTTGCACAACATGTAAAATTAAAAAGTTTTAGTTTAAGCGCACAGCCGGGTTTAAGCTCATCAAGGATAATGCAGCACTAAATGTCAGCCGTGCTAGATGTTTAGTAAAATGCCCTTTTTGGGGCTTAACCTCTTTTAGCAACACATGCGCGTCCAATTCTCTGATTAGACTTCCCCGGCAGAAATGCTCCCCGGTTAGTCTGGCACCAAGTTTTAACTGGTACCGTAAAATAATCACTCCTTCCTACAGTGGTATTAAGGTCGTCGTAGCAGTGAATGAGGGAGAGGTGGCTTTGGGAGTTCTGAAGATCAGCAGTTGTTTACAGTGCAGCAAAGAGTAAACCTACCCCACACGATCATACACCTGCAAATAAACCCAAGGCGGAAGAGAGTTGTCAGGAGCCAATTACGGCAACAGGCTGGTGACAGGTACAAATTGCTTAGAGTACACACACCTTGTTCCTCCGCGCAGCTCAGAGCCTACAAAGGTTTAACTATTAATATGAGAAAGATTACATCAATCCTATATTAATCTCCACCTCGCAGGGCTCCGAGCAGATAGCGGCAGCAGCGAACAGAGCGATTCAAGCAAATCTCCCAACGTTCCCACGGGACTGGGCTCAGGACACAATGTGGGCGGGATGGCCTCCTGCTGTGATGAAAACTCTCCACGTTCCCAAACCCTCACACAACATGCCCCTAGACTTCCCAAACCACGTTACTTTGTTCCCTCTTTAACCCCCCCACCCCCTCCCACTCCGCGCCTCCCGCCCACCCCCCATTTCAAAAAAACCTCCCAAAGAATTATCTTCCATCTCACCCACAAAATATACAGTCAAATCACTTTACAGTGTATTCTGTGAAGCGCTGTGAGACGTCAGCGAGACATGATAAGGTCCCATATCAAATGCCAATGCAAGGATTATTATTATTATTATCTCTTCCAAAGAATCAACAGCTCTAAATCCTTTGCTTCCCAGTTCAGTGACTACCTCTACATGCGTCGAGCACTTTTAACTACACACTGCGTGTATGTATGTGTGTGCGTGTGTATATGTGCGTGTGTATGACAAAAAAAGTTACGGCAGTAGTCCACCTCCAGCCAAAATAAAAATCTCTTCACACACACACATACGCGCGCAACTGGTAACGAGAACATAATCAATCGCAGGTCAGTCATGGAAACCCTGGAGAAGATCTCACATGGAGAACAGAAACTCTGGGAAGCCGGAGTGGCTCTCGGAGGTTCGTGCCCTCCGAAAACTTCTCAACTGCTTTTTTTTCCCCCCCAGTTGTGGATCGACGGCATTTGGTAATGCGATTGGAGAGGAGAGGAGAGGGGGAAGCGCCCCGGAGGGGGGGGGGGGCGGTGGGGAGGGGGATTGGGGGGGGGTAAAAAATATAATAATCCTCGCATTTGATACAGCTCCTTATCACGTCGTTGAGACGTCTCAAAAGCGCTTCTCGAGGGATTATATTTCCTGTAAAGTGAATTGATTGCGTGTATACGGTGCGGGCGAAACGGAGCGTCTCCCCCACCCCCACCCCCCCGCAGACGGCGACGACAACTTGCACTTATATCCGACGCCCTCCCCCTCGGGAAATAAATGGCTTAAAACCACACGGGACTGAGTTAAGACAACTTTTTTTTTGGCAGCGACTCAAAGCTACTTGCGGGGGTGGTGGTGGGGGGGGGGGGCAACAGACTTACAGGAGGGTGGGTGGGTGGGTGTCTGTGTGTGTCTGTCTCTGTGTCTGTCTGTCCTTTTTTTTTGGCAGCTACAGGAATAAATCCTTACCAGATATTTCATGTAGTGACTGAAAAAAAACAAAGGCTGTGCACACAATTCAGGGGGTGGGGGGGGGGGGAGAGGGGGGAGAGAGGGGGGGGGGGGAAGCAACACGGAAAGGAAGGAAAGGAAGTTGGTTTTGGGGGGGGGGAAGTGGGGGTAACTGTGGAGAACGTGAGATGAGGAGGGTGTGTGTGTGGGTGGGGGTGTGTGTGTGTGGGGGGGGGTGTGTGGGGTGTGTGTGGGGGGGTGTGGGTGGGGGTGTGTGTGTGGGGGGGGGGTGTATGGGTGTGTGGGTGGGGGGGGTGTGTGGGTGTGTGTGTGGGGGGGTGTGGGGGGGGGGTGTGGGGGGGGGGTGTGTGTGTGGGGGGGGGGTGGTGTGTGTGGGGGGGTGTGTGTGTGGGGGGTGTGTGTGTGGGGTGTGTGTGTGGGGTGTGTGTGTGGTGGGGGTGTGTGTGTGGGTGTGTGTGTGTGTGTGGGGGTGTGTGTGTGGGGGTGTGTGTGTGGGGGTGTGTGTGTGTGGGGGTGTGTGTGTGGGTGTGGGTGTGTGGGTGTGTGTGGGTGTGTGTGTGGGTGTGTGTGTGGGGGTGTTGGTGGGGGTATGTGACCGAACACAGGGCCCCACACCCCCTCTACTCCCCCCCACCCTGACCCACCCCAACGGGGAGGGGGTGAGAGCAGGAATTACAAACCCCTGCGCGGGTGGGGGTGTTGGGGGGGAAATAACTCAACCCCCCCTCCCCTCACCCTAAGGGCTGTGACACGGCCTCCCCGGCCCCGAGGCCCTGTTGGCGGGCCGGTTGCTGCCCGCGGGCCGCCAGTTGCCTCTCCCCCGGGCCCGGGGCGGGGGGGGGAGGGGGAGGGGGCGCCTGAGGGCCTCGGGGGGGTGTGTGTGGGGGTGTGGGGGTGGGGGCGGTCACTTACCTCTCTCTCTCTCTCTCACTCCCTCTCTCTCTCACTCCCTCTCACACACTCTCTCTCTCTCTCTCTCTGTGTCGCTCGGAGCCGCCGCCCCGCCCGCCAGCCTCGCTCTCGCCTCTTAAACGGGCAATGCCTCTTAAAAGCGGCCACGCCGGCGGACCCCACTCACCCCCTCCCTCCCTCCCTCCCTCCCTCTCTCTCTGTCTGTCTGTCTCGCTCACTCCTTCTCGCTCACTCACTCACTCACTCACTCCACCCACCTTCACTCTCGCCTCCCCCTCCCCTCCCCCCCCCCCCCCCCCCCCTCCCTTACGCAGGCAGATTCTCTTATAAAGCGGCCACCCCAGTGGGACCCCATTCCCTGCCCCTCCGCACTCCCTCACACCCACACTCACTCACTCACTCACTCTCACCGACACTCACTCACTCCCTCACACCCACACTCACTCTCCTCACCCACACTCACTCACTTCCTCACACCCACACTCACTCACTCTCACACTCACTCACTCTCACACTCACTCACTCCCTCACACCCACACTCACTCACTCCCACATTCACTCACTCACTCACTCACTCACTCTCACCCACACTCACTCACTCACTCACTCTCACCCACACTCACTCACTCCCTCACACCCACACTCACTCTCACACTCACTCACTCTCACACTCACTCACTCCCTCACACCCACACTCACTCACTCTCACCCACACTCACTCCCTCACACCCACACTCACTCACTCACTCTCACCCACACTCACTCACTCTCACCCACACTCACTCACTCCCTCACACCCACACTCACTCACACTCACTCTCACACTCTCACACTCCCTCACACCCACACTCACTCACTCCCTCACACCCACACTCACTCACTCACTCTCACCCACACTCACTCACTCACACCCACACTCACTCTCCTCACCCTCACTCACTCACTCCCTCACACCCACACTCACTCACTCACACCCACACTCACTCCCTCACACCCATTCCTACTTCCATGCACTGAAATATGGGTGTCATGGCTCAGTCAGTCACCCTCTCGTTTCTGAGTCAGAAGGTTGTGGGTTCAGTGCCCCTCCACCGTCCCCATTGGCAGCACTTGGATTCGCATGGTTTAAGCCAGTGGTGGCAAACTCAAGGCTGTCAAGAAGCCCCCACGTCCGCGCCCCCCTCCCACCACTCGATATGAAAGGCGCTATAACAACAATAAAGTTACATTCATATAGCGCCTTCCATGTTAGAAGGCCATCCCAAGGCTCTGATATAAACATGTATGTGAATCTGCATGGAGTGGGGGCAGATAGGCTGAAAAACTGCTATTAGTCCATTTTTCCCCCCCTGAAGATACCTCGCTTTTCGAGGGGACAAAGATAGAGAGAGATAAGAACGTGTTGATGAGGCACTGATGACTCAATCAGTCCAAGAGAAACAACTGGAAAGACAACATTAACAAGAATGGTTTATCTATCTCGACAAGATAATATGCCATTTCAGACCTTTCTTGCAAAACAATGAAGAGATGAGATGACTCCAGATCTAGTGTTCGGTGACACCAAGCTGGGTGTATATCCTTTGGATGTTGAGCGTTCTGGCCTGACACGGAGTGTAGATGGAAATCAACTAGCAACCACATGCTCAACTGAGAGCGAGCGGCAAATATTTGTCACGACCAAGCTCTATCCTGTCCGCTGACATCCTGTGCTCTTTCTAACAGAAGCGACCTAATTATAATGCATAAGGGGAGTTCTAGCTGATATTTTTCCCCTATCCTCAGCCCATTGTATCATTCCCCATCATGAGCCCAAGATTACACATATCAGGTTGAAATGATAATATAATTGGCTGCCGCGTTTCGCCCACAAATATACGGTCAATTCACTTTACAGCCTATTCTGTGAAGCGCTTCGAGACGTCGAGAAGACTTAAAAAGCGCTATATCAAATGCAAGGATTATTATTATTATTTATTATAATAATAGTAGGAGGGTGACCGGAGGCATGGTCTTGAGACTGGCCTTGAAGGAGGTAAGAGAGGGGGTGAGTCAGAGGACTGTGGGATGGAGTTCCAAAGGGCGGAGGCAGAAAGGCTGAAGGCCCGACTGCCGATAATAAGGTGCAGACACAAAAGGGCCGAATGGCCTCCTTCTGTGATGTAAAATTTGATGACTCTGTTTCCGAGCCAACTTGCGGGGCGATGATTTCTGGTCAGCGGTGCAGGCAAGTGTGTCCAGAGAGGCAGAGAATTGTGCCACCAGTGTTGTTTCGGGAAGGGAGGATGTGAGTACACGTCACTGCCAACCACCAAGCTGAGAAGACTGTAACCACAGCGCCATTTCTACACAGATGTTACTGTGTGAGTGCTGTTAGGTTGTTTGTTAGGGAACATCCCTAAACTGTTACAGCAGTAAGGAAGTGACGCTCAGTTGGATAGATTGTTGGAGATGGAGTCCTGCAGCTCAGCGGTTAGAGCACTCGCCTCGCGTGTGAGAGGAACTGGGTTCGATTTCCGGGGGGGTCGAAATCTTAGGCAAATTTTCTTACTCCACACACACACACACCTCTATTTACCTAGCAGTAAGTAGGAACTCAGTTGTTATTGGATTGGCGGATTGTTTTTCCGGCGATAATATTCCCTTCAAAGCAAAAAGAAATAAGAATTTTATCACTCAATCCACGACTGTTTGTGGGGACGCTGCTGTGTGCAATTGGCTGCTGCGTTTCGCCCAAAAAATATACAGTCAATGCACTTTACAATATATTCTGTGAAGGGTTTTGAGACGTCTCGAAGACGTGATAAAGCGCCATATCAAATGCAAATATTATTATTAATATCATTATTATACTCTAACCTAACAAACATCTCTCCACCTCAGTCTTGAACATGTAGCAGTGATGTAGCTGACTTGGAGTTAACAATCAGCAGCAATCATATCGTTGGGACAAGGACTCTCCTCTGGGTCTTCAGTATGTTTATACAATCTATTAAAAATTAATGAGCGGAATTAGTTGAATTCAATTAGGTAACACATAACATAAATGGGTTCACTAGTGCCCTGACAGCTCTCTGGGCTGTTGAGATTCTCACTTACATACACCGCGCGGGGCTGTAGAATGAGTTGTCTCTTCAATTGAACCTTCACTCTCGCTCCCTTGGTGACCTTGTGGGTGAAGATTGATGTCATTGAAACATCGCAAAGCGATTCACAGAATACACTGTCAAGTTTCACCCACAAAATGCACCGTCAATTCACTTTACAGTGTATCCTGTGAAGTTCTTTGAGACGTCTCGAAGGTGTGATAAGGCGCCGTATCAAATACAAGGATTATTATTATAAATGTAGTAACTGTGTATATTGTGGGCGAATTGATTCCACGCGGCTGGTGTCGTCCCGAGCCGTTATCTGGGCTGAGAACCATCCCGAAGGCAGAGGGGCGGTGAATCCCATACAGGAATCAAACCCCATTGTTATTCCCTTCAGACAATGGAAACTCCACACCCATGTGTGCGACACTGAGCCTGAAGCCTGGAAACCCCCCTGGAGGCTTCTCAGTGATATTAGTCTGACAGCAGATATTGCGAGTGAACGAGCGATTGTCAAGAGCCTGAGAGCTGGACCTCTCACAAGAGCTTCGAGGCTAAGCTCCGAATAAACATGATTCATTTTGAGTGTTGGCCGCACAGCCAACCAGGCTGGGAAAGGTAAGGTAACCAGTCCTCTTGAAGAGAGGAACAGCCTTAAGCAGAAGTGAGAGGGAGGAGTGTGTGTGTATGCGGTTGCATGTGTGTATATATGTGTGTGTGTGTGTGTGAGGGGGGGTGGGGAGAGTAAATGTTAGCTGATTCGCTATTTTTGGAGACGGGAGCAGTCAGGTGGGCATTCACCTCCTAAGAATAATAGAGCCATCCATCCTGTTAAAGCCTAGACATGGGAAGTGCAGCTGTGGAAACAGTGGTGCAGAATTAACCACTGGACACTGAGGCAGTTCTTACTGGAACAATAATAATATTAATAATCATCCTTGTATTTTCACATTGGGAGGACGTCCTAAGGTGCTGGACAGTGAAGGGTTTGCACCCAAGCTGAGGGTTGGAATCAAGAGGGGGTGGAGGGCAGGGGGATTCGCAGTGGGAGGGTGACTGAAGGCACGGTCAAAGAGTAAAGAGGAGGGTCTTGAGATGGGCCTTGAAGGGGGCAAGGGCGGGGGGTGAGGGGGTGAAGGTGAACCCACAAACTTCTGACTCAGAGGTGAGAGTGTTACCAGCTGACCCCAGGCTGAGACCCCGTTGAGATCAGGATGACAAAGATTGTAATGATTTAGAAATGCACGGGGGAGAGAGCTACTCCATATAGCCACCACTGAGAAACAGAGAGGGAAGGAGGAGAGGAGGACTAGAATTTAGGCCCTATTTATCTATTTCCTCTTCGCTGTGTCCACCGCACAATCACTGCGTCTCCTGGGAGAGAGTTTCCACAGGACCTGGTTGAGTTTCCACACAAAGCCTGAGAGAAGTCGCTGGCTGGGAATAAGGTACAGGTTAACCCCTTGAACTGACAAACATGCCTGTTGCCTGTCAGGAAACCAGGCAGTTGATTGCGTGTGAAACAGGAAGCCCTTCGAGCAGCGGCCTCACTTCCTGCTTAATGAATATTCCATCGGAGAGACATTCGGGCTCACCTCCCCTATGCAAACATCTGCCCACTGCCGTGCTGGTGTGTGTGTGTGTCTGTCCCTTTAAATGAGCGCCTCAGACAGATGTGTGGGGCTGTGTAACATGGATTGTCATTTAAAATTTCCACTGACTCTTCATTTGTACGGCAATGACTGTATTCAAAACACACAGTCACTGCACTTTACAGCATATCCTGTGAAGCGCTTTATGATGTCTCTAAGGAGCTGTATCAAATGCAAGGATTATTATGATGCCGCCCAAAGGCCTCTTGAACGCAGGGAAGGAAAGCGAGTCAGTGAACGGAAACTAAACAGGAATTAAAGACACATTTAAAGAAAATTTTAAACAAAATCGGTCATTTACTCACTCCACGACTGTTTGTGGGGCACTGCTGGGTGTGACTGTGTGCTACGTTTCACCCACAAAATACACAAACCGAAACCACTTTACGCTCTATCCTGTGAAGTGCTTTGAAATGTCTCGAAGACGTAATAAGGCACTGCATCCAATGCAAGGATTATGATTTTTATTACAGTGTTAAAATAGCAATTTCAGGAAATGGAATCAACCTGGCTTTGCTTTTAGCCCACAGCATTAGACGGAGAAGTGGATTGATCTGAAGTTTCCTTGGCCTGCGGTCAAATAAACCTCAAGGCTCTTATATCCTAAGCCCGTTAATGAATTCATTCATTGCGTTCAACTTAATGCAGAACTTAAAGAGTTTTCAGAAATCAATGAAGTCCTTGGGAGAAGATAGCAGTGTCTGCTGACCTCCTGATGAGGCTCTTAGAGAGAGACCTTCAAGTGATTATTATATTGGCTTCTCTGGTGTTTCGCTGTTAACCAGTGATCGTTCCCATTGTCGTGGGGCTCGGCAACAGCCAGGCCTCAAATTCCACCCCTTCTCGGCCCTGAGACCATTGTTATAAACCTTAAAAAGATGGCGTATAAGAATTGCGGTAAATTCTCAAAGACTTCGTTTAGATGTTGTTTTTTTCTTTCTCTGTCGTCCTTAAAAAGAAACCGGCTTCCTTCTGAATTAACGACTGAATTTAAGAGTTTTCCACAAAGCCACGGCTTGAGACCCGACACATTATAATAATAATAATCCTTGATTTGACTTAGCGACTTATCACGTCTCCAAGACGTCTAAAAAGTGCTTGAAAAGTGCCAACACGATTCTTGTGCGCAGGAAGGGGAGGGAGACGGGGGGAGAGGGAGGTGTGGTGGGGGTTCTTTGGCAATGGGAGGGTTAAGTTCCTTCCCTCTCGTGGCTGAGATCTGGGTTCAATCGCAGACCGGACCGAGCAAACGTCTCCTCTGAACAAGGGCGAAGCTTCCCATGTTCCCGTTCAGTATTGTTCTGTGTTTAGCTCCGCTTTGGTTTATTGTTTAACAGGCAACTGTTGCTGTGGTGACAGGAGCACAGGGACAAAACAGGGCCGGGGCCGCCAACCAGGAAGTGCAGGTACAACCAAGCTGTTTAAACAGACGTGTCGTCCTTTTCTTCCCACGTAGCCTGGGACGTCAGAAACTCCAACGCCCATCCCTCCCCAATCCATCTCAGATAATAATACAAATATAATAATAATACTCGCATTTGACACAGCGCCTTATCACGGCTTCGAGGCATCTCAAAGCGCTTCACAGGATACCCTGTAAAATGTAGTGACTGTGTATTCTGTGGACGAAACACGGCAGCCAATTGCGCCCAGCGACGTCCCCACAAACAGTGATGGATTGACTGACCAAATTATTTTTTTTTTCAAAAAGGGATTATTACCCCCCGGAAAAACGATCTGCAAATCGACTGACAGCCGGGTTCCTGCTCGGTAAACAGAGGCATGTGCGTGGAGTCAGGAAACTTGCCTAAGGTTTTGCCTTAAATCTGTTGAGTCCACCTGAAGAAATACAGACCGGCCCATGTGGAGACAGCACCTCTGACAATGTGCCCCTCACCCCACTCCCCCAGCACTGCACTGGAGGGCCAGCCTAGACTGTGAGCTCAAAGTCCCCGTAACCCGAACCCACGACCTCCTATCTCAGAGGTGAGAGTGCGTTGACTGAGCCAGACAGAGACCTGATGAATCTAGTTAATATACACACACACTGAACTATGTGAGAGAGACAGAGCGAGAGAGAGAGATGTCCAGGGATGGGAAGAGGCTTTATGGGTCAAAGGGAAAATCAAAAGGTCTTGTGATGACATCTCCAATGATAAACAATACTAAGCCTCCCCCACCCAACCACTCTCACTCCCACCCAAGTTCACAGTATTTCAGAGCATTTGTACAAACAGCAGCTACACAAACACAACCCCTCCCTTGAGGAAAAAATGGGATATGAGTCATTGCAAAAGGCGAATGGGTGTACCTCGTTCAGCTCTCTGTCAGTCTGAGTGTCTCTGCAAAACTCGTAGACATGAACAATACTCTCTCACTCTCTTCCTACACCTTATAGCAGCGGGACGTCCCATGTTAACTAACTGTGGCTGTCTATCTTTTTCCGGTCACCTCCACTCTCTAAGTCTCAGGAATATCAATAGGTTCTGTTGGCTTTAAAAGGAGAATTGGAACGATTTACACCAACTGACGGCGTGGGTGGATTTTATGAGCAATGGTAACTGCTGCCTATTTCTGATCTTGTCCAGAGCACAGTACATAATCAGCTTGCCAACGCACTGAGAAAGAAAGTTTCAAAACAAACTTTTTGGGGCTTCAAAACACAAGAAAGTTTGGACCGAGAAAGGTTCTGCTTCAACCCAGAGGCAAGGTCCACTCCCCCCACCACCACCCCCTCCTCCCCCTCCCTCTCTCTACAGCAACCACTTGCACTAACACAGCGCAATTCACATAAGCGCTTAGCAATGTCTACCACTGGACACTGAGCAGGGAAATGTGAGGTTTAATGTATACATAAAATTATTATTATTATTCTTATTAAGTACGCGCTTCGCCCACAAAATATACAGTCAATTAACTGAGCAGTGTATCCTGTGAAGCGCTTTGAGACGTCTCGAAGACGTGATAAGGCGCTGTATCAAACGCAAGGATTATTATTGTTATTATCCCTATTATTCTAAATAATTAGCATTGCTCTTCCACATGTTTCAGTTGTATTATTACTGCAGTAACAGGACTTTGCGGACACCCTGTACACAATCCCAGAGAGCAGTGATGCAGACTCACAGCGAGTCCCTCCCTCACAGCGAGGCTAGAGCAGGAAGCAGCTGCTTGAAGAAAAGAGGAAGCAGGTGGTGGATGGCTCTTGTGATGGGAGTCTTTCTGGTGATGGTCTTGGGTGGGGAGGGGCCGGGGCTGGGGTTCCAACCGATGCGGTGTGGGGTGGGGTCGGGTGGTGGGGAATCCACATATAATAATAAAGAAAATAATCCTTGCATTTCATACAGCGCCTTAGCACGTCTGCTACACTGTGGAGTCCTGTAGCTCAGTGGTTAGAGCACTCGCTTTGCAAGTGAGAGACCTGAGTTCAATTCCAGGCAGAGGGCGAAACCTCGGGCAAGTTTCCTTACCCCACACAGAGCCTAATAACAATCCCTCCAAAACAAAAACAATAATAAATTGGTCATTTTCAATCTACGACTGTTTGTGGGACATTGCTGTGCGCAATTGGCTGCCGCGTTCGCCCACAAATATACAGTCAATTCACTTTACAGTCTATTCTGTGAAGCGCTTTGGGACGTCCTCCCGACGTGAAAAGCGCTATATCAAATGCAAGGATTATTATTATTATATTATTATTATTATTATAGTGGAGTGACTGTGTGTTTTGTGGGCGAAACGTAGCAGCCAATTGCACACAGCAGCGTCCCACGGCCAACATGGACTTGAGTGACCACAGAATCATTTTTCTTTTCTTGACTTTTTGAAGAGATTATTGGCCTCAGAAAAGCGATCTGTCAGTAAATTTCTACTTACTGCTGAATACACAGAGGGGGGTTTGTGTTGGTGCATGTGGAGTAAGGAAATTTGCCCAATGTTTCGCCCTGACCGGGAATCGAACCCGGGTCCTCTCGCTTGCCTGGCGAGTGCTGTCACCATTACGCTACAGGACTCCAAACTGCTGCATTTGCCCGCAACAAAAGCAATCATGAGACCCAGCGTTAGATGACTCCTGTGAAGAGCTTTGAGATGTTTTGACTGTTAAAGCACCGAATTGGATTGAATCCTGTGGGTCAATGTGTGTAGTTTGGGATTCGGAATGAGCAACATCGTCCCCGTGTGGCAGCAAGTGGCAGGGCACGAGCATAGGAACAGGAGGAGGCCATTCAGACCCTCGAGCCTGTTCCGCCATTCTATAAGGTCATGGGCTGATCTGTACCTCAATTCCAATTACCTGACCTTGGCCCAAAGGAACCTCAGAGGATATTGACCCTCCCCTTGTGTGAACACTCATCACTGAATAATCTGCATGTCACCACCATTTTTATTTTACCCCTCCCCCCCCCCCCCCCACCCCTCTCCCCCTCCCTCCCTTTTTACTTGGATTGGTCACCTCGATCCACGGCTGTTTGTGGGGACTTCGCTGTGCACAGTTGGCTGCCGCGTTTCGCCCACAAAATATACACTCACTACACTTTACAGTATATGCTGTGAAGCGCTTTGAGACGTCTCGAAGACGTGATAACAACAACAACAACAAGATTGCATTTATAGAGCGCCTTTCACGTCGGGAGGACGTCCCAAGGCGCTGTATCAAAATGCCAGGATTATTATTAAAACACAAAATACTGCAGTCGAAGAAGGGTCGTGGACCTGAAACGTTGACTCACTTTCCTTTCTCCATAGATGCTGCCTGACCTGTTGAGTTTTCCCAGCTCTCCCTGTTTTTGTGCCGGGATTATTATTATCGCTTGGCTAACAATCCAAGCCACAGGTTGAGCAAAGAAACTTGTACACATATTCAAAACATCGGTTGTTTTATATAGTAGTAATACAGTAAAGATAGAATATTTATACAACAATAAAAAAAACTTCACATGTCTCTGGGGGGTCACAGATGGATAATCTCAGTGTGTTGCGGTGTATTGTGCTGTGCTGTGGTGTGTTGTGGTGTGTGCTGTGCTGTGGTGCGTTACGGTGTCTTGTGGTGCGTTACGGTGTCTTGTGGTGCGTTACGGTGTCTTGTGGTGTGTTATGGTATTCGTGGAGTCCTGTAGCTCAGTGGTTAGAGCACTCGCTTTGCAAGTGAGAGACCTGAGTTCAATCCCCGGGGGGTCAGGGCGAAACCTTGGGCAAGTTTCCTTACTCCACACAGAGCCTAATAATAATCCCTCCAAAACCAACACAATAATAAATTGGTCATTTTCAATCTACGACTGTCTGTGGGACATTGCTGTGCGCAATTGGCTGCCGCGTTCGCCCACAAATATACAGTCACTTCACTTTACAGTGTGTTCTGTGAAGCGCTTTGGGACGTCCTCCCGACGTGATAAGCGCTGTATCAAATGCAATGATTATTATTGTTATTGTTGTTGTTGTTGTTGTTATTGTTGTTATTGTTGTATATGGAATCTATAGCACGTGGTGTGGGCGGGGCTTGTGCCCCAGTGTGTGACGCGCTGTTCTCGGGGCGGCGCGGATCTCGCGAGAGCTGCTGCCCGGCGGCGGGATGGAGGCGGCGGCTTTGTCTCCCGGTGTCACCCCGACCCCAGGCCCCGGCCCCGGCCCCTCCCCGACCCCAGGCCCCGGCCTCTCCCCAACCCCCGGCCCCGGCCTCTCCCCAACCCCCGGCCCCGGCCCCTCCCCGACCCCAGGCCCCGGCCTCTCCCCGAGCCCGACCCCAGGCCCCGGTCTCTCCCCGACCCCAGGCCCAGGCCTCTCCCCGACCCCAGGCCCAGGCCTCTCCCCGAGCCCCGGCCTCTCCCCGACCCCAGGCCCAGGCCTCTCCCCGACCCCAGGCCCAGGCCTCTCCCCGACCCCAGGCCCAGGCCTCTCCCCGACCCCAGGCCCAGGCCTCTCCCCGACCCCAGGCCCAGGCCTCTCCCCGACCCCAGGCCCAGGCCTCTCCCCGAGCCCCGGCCTCTCCCCGACCCCAGGCCCAGGCCTCTCCCAACCCCAGGCCCCGGCCTCTCCCCGACCCCAGGCCCAGGCCTCTCCCCGAGCCCCGGCCTCTCCCCGACCCCAGGCCCAGGCCTCTCCCCGAGCCCCGGCCTCTCCCCGACCCCAGGCCCAGGCCTCTCCCCGAGCCCCGGCCTCTCCCCGACCCCAGGCCCAGGCCTCTCCCCGAGCCCCGGCCTCTCCACGACCCCCGGCCCCGGTCCCGGCCTCTCCCCGACCCCGACCCCAGGCTCCGGCCTCTCCCCAACCCCAGGCCCCGGCCTCTCCCCGAGCCCAGGCCCAGGCCTCTCCCCGAACCCGACCCCAGGCCCCGGTCCCGGCGTCACCCCCACTCCAGCCCCGGCCCCAGGGTCTCTCTCCCCGGCCCCGGGCTCAGGTCCAGGTCTCCTCCCCGCGGCCCCGGTGTCAGGCCCCGGCGGCTTCGGCAAAGGCCGCCCGTTACCCAAAGGCCGTGAACTGCTCAGGCACCAGCGGAAGGATTCTGAGGTCAGTCACTCACTCACTGTCACTGTCACACACTCACTGTCACTGTCACACACTCACTGTCACTGTCACACACTCACTGTCACTCACACACTCACTGTCACTCACTGTCACACACTCACTGTCACACTCACTGTCACTCACACACTCACTGTCACACTCACTGTCACTGTCACACACTCACTGTCACTGTCACACACTCACTGTCACACACTCACCGTCACTGTCACACACTCACTGTCACTGTCACACACTCACTGTCACTCACTGTCACTGTCACACTCACTGTCACACTCACTGTCACTGTCACACTCACTGTCACACTCACTGTCACTGTCACACTCACTGTCACTGTCACACTCACTGTCACTCACACACTCACTGTCACTCACTGTCACTGTCACACACTGACTGTCACACTCACTGTCACTGTCACACACTCACTGTCACTGTCACACACTCACTGTCACTGTCACACTCACTCACTGTCACACACTCACTGTCACTCACACTCACTGTCACTGTCACTCACTGTCACTGTCACACACTCACTGTCACACTCACTGTCACTGTCACACACTGTCACACACTAACTGTCACTCACACACTCACTGTCACTGTCACTCACTGTCACTGTCACACACTCACTGTCACACTCACTGTCACTGTCACACACTCACTCACTGTCACACACTCACTGTCACACACTCACTGTCACACACTCACTGTCACTGTCACACACTCACTGTCACTGTCACACACTCACTGTCACACACTCACACTGTCACACACTCACTGTCACACACTCACTGTAGCACACTCACACTGTCACTGTCACACTCACCCTGTCAGACTCACACTGTTACTGTCACACACTCACTATCACACACTCACTGTCACAGACTCACTGTCACACACTCACTATCACACACTCACTGTCACTGACTCACTGTCACACACTCACAGTCACACTCACCCTGTCACTGTCACACTCACTGTCACACTGTCACACACTCACCCTGTCACGCACTCACTGTCACACACTCACTCACACAATGGCATTGTCACGCACTCACCCTGTGACACTCACACTTACTGCCACACTCACTGTCACATTCACCCTGTCACACACTGGCACTGTCACTCACTGGCACTGTCACACTCACCCTGTCACACACTCACCCTGTCACACTCATTGAAACACTGTCACACTCACTGTCTTTCACACTAACACTTACTGTCGCACTTTATACAGTGAAGAAAAAGTGATATTGTCGTAGATTCCATTAGAAAGCTATTTACTGCTCCTTAAGACTGCTGTCCCAGGAGTGCTCCGAGACGTGAAGGGCGCTATATAAATGCAAGTTGTTGTTGTTGACTGTTTTCTTTTGCTGGTTTCAACTGCGGCTGATTTTCCCTCCTTTCTCGCTGAGAACAAATCTGCGGAGACACTACTTCAGCGAGCGAGAAGTAAACATAGGGAGGCAGACGGTGGAAGCAGAAAGTGTTGTTTGTTTAGAGAACAAACGAGATAGATTTCTGCTGGAAAATAATGTGTGGGGGACCCAGTATACAGTTTGGGACACGACGTGTCAAGCGACTGCCAGGATGGTGGAAGGCGCACTAGAAGGACTTCGGTCTTCTGTCGCCTAATAGCACATTCTTATGCTCTTATAAGACTAAATGGCACCTTTTGATTCCTTCCCAGGGTTTTTCCGAGTCTCCCGACCTCGAGTTTGAATACGCAGACACCGATAAATGGACTGCAGAGCTGTCCGGTAAGAACTGGGAGGGGAGAAAAAATTGCTACACAACGAAAGAGCTGGGGAATGGGATTAGAGTGAAGCGCTCTTTCGGGGAGCTGGTATATTGAATATATAGGTTTGTTTCGACAGAACTATACAGTTACACAGAGGGCCCTGAACTGCACCTGAACAGAAAATGCTTCGAAGAAGACTTCAGGACTCACGGTAATAACTATTTGCCCTGTCCTCCACTTCCCCGACCCCCAGCTCGGTTCCAAATCCCTCACTGTCCAGCGCCTTGTGACCTCCTCCTGACGTGAAAGGCACTATACAAATGTAATTTTGTGTTATAATTTGCAGTCAGTTCTTTTCGATTGGTACTTGAGGTGGACTCACCTCTACAGCTAGCTTTAGTTTTGCTGACTGATGGATGATCACCCTGCCTTTTGTGCAAGAATTTGGGGCTTGGTGTGTACTGGGATGAGATAATGTGTGATGTTTCGGAGAGTAACAGGGATGGGATAACTGTGGAGATTTTGCTTAATTACCTTTGAAGTCGGGAATATTCATGCAGAGCTTTACCTCAGGATATAGAGTACTTACCAGCTGCATTGTCTACGGAAGAAGCAGAACCTGGTCGATTTTGTGTAGAAATTCTTTTGTTCTTATAGGAACTAATATCTTGGGATAAAGTGTACTTTGGGACATGACATGTGCAAGCGACTGCCAGATTGGTGGAAGGTGAACTGGATGTACCTTGGTCTTCTTTCATCCAGCAATTCTGATGTCCTTATAGCTGAACAGCCTTTCCTCTCTCCACACCTGTGGCTGTCACGTGGATGTATTTCTGAAGCTGTAGGAGCTCAGTCACATTACCGTCTTGCAGCAATATCTCAGGTGTCTAATAATAATAATCCTCACATTTGATATAGCACCTTATCAAGTCATCGACACGTCTCAAAGCGCTTCCCAGAAAATACTGTAAAGTGAAGTGACTGGATATTTTACGGGGTGAAACGCGGCAGCCAATTGCGAACAGCAGCGTCCCCGCAAACAGTCGTGGATTGATGTGACCAATTTATTATTATTTTTATTAAGTTTTAAACAGTGTATAGCTCTGTCCTGATGACACGCGTTGCTTCACCACAATAACCTGTGGGTCTCAATGCCTTGTTATGCAGTGAAAGACAAGAAATGGACGGAGGTGGATATTTGCGAACACAGAGCTCATGCCATGAGGCTGCTGGATGGCCTGGAGGTCACCGCAAGGGAAAAGAGACTGAGAGTGGCTCGAGCGATACTCTACGTGGCACAAGGTATGGTCCCTCCTGCTCGTAACAAGTGAAGCAGAGACGGTCAACAGAAAGCACCTCCGAGCTCGCTTGGCTCTGTCATTTTGCAATGGGGGAGGGATAATAATAATAATAACAATAATCCATGGTTTGATATAGCGTCTTCGAGACATCGCAAAGTGCTTCACAGAATATACTGCAGAGTGAATTGATGTATATTTTGTGGGCGAAAGAGTACATTTGGTGGCGATGAGAGAGAGAGAGAGAAGGGGAAAACTCTGTCGATTGTTTATTTAAAACTTACCAATGTTTGCGAATGTTAAGGAGCGCGGGGGTGATTGAAATGATGAAGAGAATGAAACGTTTACAGCAGCCAGCCACCTCGTGAAGCGGCAGCTTGTCGGGCAGGTTGAGGGGAAAGATAACGACTTGCCTTTCTCCGTAGCTGAATCTCTGATGGCTGATCGTTCACTATATACAATAGCAATAATCCTTATTATGACGGCTTATCGCGTCGTCATAATTTTACAATGTGTGTAATTTAACTGTGAAGTAGGTGTAGTGACTGTATTTTGTAGGCAAATTGTATACAGTAACGACTCGTGTTGGTATGGATGTTGTTAGGGTCTCGGAGCCCTGCTGTATGACTGGTGACCGGTGACGGACTCTGTGCTAACCGTGGTTCTCTCCTCTCCTTCCACAGGGACCTTTGGGGAATGTAACTCCGAGGCCGAGGTGCAGCAGTGGATGCGGTACAATGTCTTTCTTCTCCTCGAGGTCGGCACCTTCACGGCTCTGGTTGAGCTGCTCAGCATGGAGATCGAGTGAGTGGAGCGTTGTGTGTGTGGAGGTGTGTGTATGGTGGGGGTAGTGTCTGCATTGTGTGTGTGTGGATGGATGGGGGTGGGGGGGGTGCGTTTTGGGGGGTGTCTGCATTGTGTATGTGTGTGTGTTTGTGTGTGCGTGCGTGTGTGTGTGCGCGTGTGTGTGTGCGCGGGGGGAGATGTTGCCTCTTAATAATAATAATAATCCTTGCATTTGATATAGCGCTTTTCACGTCGGGAGGACGTCTTGTGATCTGTAGGCTGCCCTGAAGCCTCTCTTGAGATTTATGAAGTTGCCGTTTGTTAATCACGCTTCCTTGCCTTCCAGCAACAGTGCTGCCTGTAGCAACGCAGTGAGGAAGCCGGCCATCTCTCTGGCTGACAGCACAGATCTCAGGTAGGAATGTGCGGAGGCACTTTTTAATGGCCCATCCAACGCTGCCGTTGCTCAGAGCCGACCCAGAAATAGAGAGGGGAGGTTTGTTTGAGCAGGTCATGTCTCTATGAGGTCTTTTGTTCGTGAAGCTAACAGTATATTTACCCGGGTCCACCCTCGCACAATGGGTTTAGTGGGAGGAGGACGCGCTGTTTGTTTGCAGATGCTTCACTGAAGGACCTGGCTCTGTGCCCTGCGTTCGCTGGCTCCGGCCGGCCTGGAGTTGATCCGGTTTCCTGTTTCTCCCGCAGAGTGCTGCTGAACATCATGTACCTAATGGTGGAGACGATCCGTCAGGAAGCAGACGAGGATAAGTCGGAGTGGAGAACAATGAGGGAGGCCTTCAGAGCTGACCTAGGTTTGTGGTGACATCATTCTGTTCCACAGATGGGAAAACAATGGAAGTTATTGACCGTGTGATGTCTGTAAGCCTTGATATTAATAGCGATACAACACAATGCAGGAGGAGGCCATTCATTTCTCTCTGCTGGTGCTCACTTCCCCCTCCACTGGAGCTCTCTACCCTAACCTCATTCACTGCTCACAGAAGGGAATCAACAGATGGAACTGGTTGAGGCCAGGACACATTTACGGAACTGTTTAATACTGTAATGGAGGGATAGTAGAGTGGGTATTCTGGCAGGGTGTGATCAAAAGGGCTGTAGAGGAGTGAACCAACCTCCCTTGTGATTTGTCTGCTAAGATGTTGCATCTGCTGCTTTCTGTTTGCTGGCAGGTTTGTCCCTTTATAACAACGAGCTGTTCTCGGTCATGCTGTTCGGCATGGTGACCAAGTTCTGCAGCGGCCACGCTCCTCACTTCCCCATGAAGAAAGTCTTGCTGCTGTTGTGGAAGAGTGTTTTGGTAAGCTATCTCAGCGGTTAGAGCACTCACCTTGCAGGTGAAAGAATGTGGGTTCAATTCCCGGGCAGGGCGTAAAGTTTCCTGACTCCACTCGACTGTTTACTTAGCAATAAGTAGGAAACCTGGTTGTTAGTCAATTGGCGGATTGCTTTTCCGGGGATAATAATCCCTTCTTAAAAAAAGTTATGCGCGCAATTGGCTGCTGTGTTTCGGCCACAACGTATACGGCCAATTCACTTTACAGTATAAGGCGCTATATCAAATGCAAGGATTATTATTATAATTAGTTCTGCTCTCGCTCTGTTCCAACACGCATGAATCTTACTGTTGTCTTGTTGCCAGCTGTCCCTGGGGGGGTTTGAGGACCTGCAGGAGATAAAGGTCAGGAAGCGAGAAGGGTTGGGGCTCCCACCACTGCCTGAAGACAGCATCAAAGTCATTCGTAACATGAGGGCCGCCTCGCCCCCGGCCTCAGCCTCCGACCTGATAGAGCAGCAGCAGAAGCGAGCCCGCAGGGAGCACAAGGTGAGACAGACGTCCGGCACAATGATCGATGGCTTGGTGAAGCCCGTCAAGCCAAGCCTGCTCCAACAGCTTCCCAGGTCATGGCAGCTTCATTTAATATCCCTTTTCCCGCTTTTCTCCATAACAAAAACAGCAGCAGCAAATTACACGGCCATAGCGCCCTTCACGTTGGAAAGACGTCTTAGGTGTGACGTATTACCCCTTAATATCCCCAAATACACAGTCGATCTGCTTTACAATATATCTTGTGAAGTGCTGTGAAATATCTCAATGACGTGATAAGACGCTGTGTCGAGTGCAAGGATTATTATCATTACTAATCCCCGCCCACGGCTAACGCCAAGGTTGGTTCTCAAACGCAGGCACTCATGAAGCAGGACAACCTGGACGCTTACAACGAGAAGGATCCGTACAAGACGGACGACCCCCGGGAGGACGAGGACGAGAACGACGAGAACGATAACTCGATCGAGGCGGAGCCCTTCCCGTTGGAGAGGGACGAGGTGATGCCACCGCCCATCCCGCACCCGGCCTCAGAACGCTTGTCTTACCCAAAGGGTCTTCCTTGGGCTCCTAAAGTCAGGTCAGGAGCGTTCTTTACCCGTCCACTTGTGGGTCAGTGCGGGTGGGAGGAGGGAGGGGAACTCTGGTACCTGTTTACTTAGCAGTGAGTAGGAACCCGTTGGTTAGTCGATTGGGGATTGCTTTTCTGGGGGTAATAATTCCTTCGAAACAAAAATACATTTTAACTTGTGCTGGGAATAATGCTTGAGGGAGACTGGAGTAGAGGAAAAGGTGATGGGAATAGGAAAGCATGGACTAGTTTGACCAAAGGGCCTGGTTTTCCAGGCGCTATGTAACTCTTACGTAGAATTCTTAGCAACAACAACAACAAATGAGATTTACACGGCGCCTTTCACGTCGGGGGGAACATCCCAAGGCACTGGACAGTCAGGGATTTGGACCCGAGCTGGGGGTTGGGTTAAGAGGGGTGGAGGACAGCGGGGGGAAGGGAGGGGGAAGGTGACCGAAGGCGCAGTCGAATTAGCAACATTCAGTTATAATTAAACAAGGAACACGTTCCTTCCTCCTCAATTGTTTTTTTCCCGCGCAGAGAAAAAGACATCGAAACCTTCTTGGAATCGAGCAGAAGTAAATTCATCGGCTACACGTTAGGAAAGTAAGTGGCCGGTTCTCTTGTCTGGAAGCTCGCAAGTGATGTGATTGCCATCTGTAGACTAAGCTGATGTTTCAGTGAGGCGCTGAGGATGTGTTGCATTGTTGGAGGTGCCATCTTTCGGATGAGACGTTAAACGGAGGTCCTGTCTGCCTGTTCACTTGGATGTTAAAGATCCCGCGGCGCTATTCGCAAAAAGGAAGGGAGTTTCTCTTTCTCTCCTGGCCAACAATCCCCCAAATAAAAGTTGGTCGCTTACCCCATGGCTGTTTGTGGGACAAAGCTGTGTGCAATTGGACTACCGCGTTTGGCTACACAGACGCAGTCACTCCACTTTACAGAAAATCCTGTGAAGTGTTTTGAGATGTCCTTCTGATGTGATAAAGCATAATACCAAATGCAAGGATTATTATCATTTCAGCTGTGACTGACGTTCTCTTTCTTTTGGAAGCAGTGATACAGACACCGTTGTCGGATTGCCAAGACCCATCCACGAAAGCATCAAAACCCTAAAGCAGGTAAGGAGTTGAGAGGGTGACACTGCTTCAACAGGCAGCAACATTTTTCCCCTCTCCAAACTCTCCCCTGACTTCTTTCCTTATGGACTCCTGTACCATGGTTAGAGCACTCGCCTCGCAAGCGGGAGGACCTAGGGTCGATTCCCAGTCACGGCGAAACATTGAGCGAGTTTCCTTACGCCACACGCTTAGTCGTAGTAAGTAAGAACTGGGATTTTAGTCAATTGGTTGATCGTTTTTCCGGGGGTAATAATCCCTTCAAATCAATAAATAATAAATAATAATAATAATTTGGTCACTGAATCCACAACTGTTGTGGGGACGCTGCTGCGCACAATTGGCTGCTGTATTTTGTCTACAAAATATACAGTTAATTCACTTTACAGTATATCGTGTGAAGTGCTTTGAGACGTCTCGGAAGATGTGATAAGGCGCCGTATCAATTAAGGATTATTGTTGTTATTCTGGTTTCGCTCTGCAGCACAAATACACCTCAGTGGCAGAGATTCAGATCAAGAAGGAGGATGAATACCTGAAGAAGCCGCTCTCTGGGGTATGGATGGATGTTGTCTTCTATATGTTTGCAAAGATGCAAGATTCCTCTCTCTTGCATTGCCAGTCTGGCTCAGTTAGTAGCACTCTTGTCTCTGAATCAAAAGGTTGTGGGTTCAAGCCCCACATTGAAACTTTTGAGTAAAAACATGTGAAGTGCTTTGAAATGTCTTGACGTGATAAGGAGCTATATCAAATGCAAGGATTATTGTTATTATTAGCATAATTCTAAGACAAAAGTCTGGTCTTTTGTTGGCTGTAAGGAAACCACGACTATAATGAGTGTAGGAAACGTCACTCCCTTTGCTATGCTGTGTGTAATGTGATTTGTTTTTCACCGGAGCTGTCCCATGTCGGGCTACCCTAGCGTCTGGCCTGTGGTGAACAGCCAGGCTTGAGATTCGCATTGAGAGGCGTCAGTGTGATTCATTTACTCCTGTTTTTATTTAAAGGGAGAAGAGGAAGTTGAACAGAGTCCTGCTGAAATCCTGTACCAGGGATACTGCCCAGCCTGCCTCAGTACATGGTGAGTGCAAAAACATCTTTAGTTCCTCCTCTGTAGCTCAGAGAGGACCTGGCTTCGATTCCCGGCCAGACAGGGCAAAATGTGGGGCAAGTTTTCTTACTCCACACACACGCCTGTTTAATTTCCCAATGGGACATTGCTGTAAGCTCCTGTTGAAATAAAATTCCCCAAGAGATGATTTTTTTTCTGTAGCCCTGGACAAATCTCCCCTTGCCTCTCTTCTCCCTGACAGATTGCTTTACTAAAGATTCTACTAGCTGCCGCTCCGACCTCCAAAGCCAAGACCGACTCGATCAACATTCTTGCCGATGTTCTGCCGGAGGAAATGCCGTAAGTACCGGGAAACAGGACTCACCTGAGTGTCCGGATACAGGAAACTCTGCCATAACACAGTCAACCAGGTGTGACTGGCAGCTGCACTTTCAGCTACTACGCCCTGAAGCTTCAGAATTCTCTCCCTCAATCCCTCCGCCTTGCCCCCTCCTTCCCTTCTTTTAGACTTTCCTCTTCGACTGTGCTTACAGTCATGCCCTCCCTTGCCCCCCAGTTCAGTATCAGTCTCCGCCACTATTCAGTTGCCATTGTGTGAAGGACGCTGTGTAAATGCAAGTAGTTGTTGTAATGCTCCAGGCACCCACCTTGTAACCTCACGTTTCCTCCGCTACTCGAGTGTCTCTCCTCGTGTCTCACAACGATGCTCTCTTTATCCCAATAGCACCACCGTACTGCAAAGCATGAAGCTGGGAGTGGATGTGAACCGGCACAAAGAGATTATAGTGAAAGCCATCTCCGCTGTCCTGCTATTGCTGCTTAAACACTTCAAACTCAACCACATCTACCAGGTAAACGCTCCGTAGCCAATAGTGAGCAGCCTCGAGATCTGCAGAGGTGGAATTGACTGGATTGTGTCACACTGGGGTTCCAAATCAATATATAAACTGGTGGTAATCAAGCCAACAGTTCACAAATATACTATAAAGTGTAGTGACTGTGTATTTTGTGGACGAAACGCGGCAGCCAATCGGGCACATCAGTGTGAAGATGGTAACTTTCCTCAAGGCTAAGTCTAGGTGGAATTTCAGCCTCGGGGTGCTGTCTCTCTGTGGCTGGGGATGAGGAGGTGTGAGTTAGCACGACTAACCCGCTGACGTGTTCTCTTCCCGCAGTTTGAATACATGGCCCAGCATCTGGTGTTCGCAAACTGCATTCCACTCATCCTAAAGTTCTTCAATCAGAACATCATGTCCTACATCACAGCCAAAAACAGGTGAGGAGTTCAAATCCCCCTCATTGCCCAGGGTCGTGGGAGCATTAAACACAGGGCAATGCTCTCTGGAGAGTCACGTCGTTGCTATTGCAAATTGCGGGCGCGGTGCAAATCAATGCAGATTTACAAATGTGCGTGTGCGCACGCGTGCGTGTATGTGTTGTGTGTATGAAATGATCCTCACCATGGGGTGAGGGGGGGCGGAAGGGGTGGGGGTTGAGTTACTGCCTCGCTGTATCTCTGTGAAACCTGTTTTAAGATGAAGAGCTTGCTGTTTAACACCTGGAACTCTACCGTTCTGTATCACACCTTTTCCTTTATAAATCATGTTAATAGACTCATTCTAGCTAATCTGTTGAAGTGTGGGGGGTTGAGGGGGGCGGATAGTGGGGGCGAGAGGATAATTGAATGATCATCGATATGCTGCAAGGGAGCTGACTCCCTCGACTGACCGGCCTGTTTTCACGCCATTTTGAAACCTTGTGACCACTGATTTTTGTTCATTCATTGGTTTCCACGTCTCGCTGTAGTATCTCGGTTTTGGATTTTCCGTACTGTGTTGTACATGAACTCCCTGAGCTGACGGCAGAGAGCTTGGTAAGTAACCGCGCAGACTGAACTGCCTTCCGTCTGTTTTCTGATTCAAATTGTCAGCCGGGAAAAAACGCCTCCCTTCTGCTGATGCTTTCTTTAAAGACAAGTAGAGATTTCCTCCCAATTATCTTGGATTATATTCCCCTCCTCATCCAGTTCATCCCCCACAAATTTGATTACTTGTCTTATGGTGGTGCATGGGTTGTCGCTCATACAGATTACTGCAGAGTACACTTCTCATTAATCTCATTCTTCAAAAGTTTTTTTAAAAAAATAATAATTTGGTCACTCAATCCACGACTGTTTGTGGGACACTGCCGCGTTTCGCTCATGAGATGTACAGTCAATCTACTTTACAGTATATTCTGTGAAGCGCTTTGAGACATCTCGAAGACGTGATAAGGCGCTATATCCAATGCAAGGATTATTATTATTATTTCCGGAGACTCAAAGCTGAGGTTCACGAGAAGTAAGAAGCAACCGTAGATCAGCCATGCAATCTCGAGTTCAGATCACACAAAACTCTAATCAACAACAGCTTTTCCTCAGGAAGGAAAGATACCGCGAGGCTCCCAAGGAAAGTGGTTGATTGACATCTGCCTATTTGATAGCATCTTGTTTACAAAACGCCCCCCAGCGCTTGCAGAGTCACAGTCTAAGGGTTTGATGACATCCATCCGTATCTATCTCTCCCACCAGTGTTAGACGGGTCTCGGTTTCGGGGATATATTTTGACTGGTCAGTGGAGTTACACAAATTGGATGCAGATGAGGACAGGGAAAGGTGCCGTCTCATTGAATATCTGCTCGCTTCTCCACTGACCTAAATGACTCATTATTCCCTCTCTTCCTCTCTCTCTCTCTCTCTCTCTCTCTCTCAGGAAGCGGGTGATAATAACCAATTCTGCTGGAGAAACTTGTTCTCGTGCATCAACCTCCTTCGAATCCTCAACAAACTGACCAAATGGAAGCATTCCAGGACCATGGTAAGTCTGCCATCGCTGGTGGTTCCTGAGCCTGTTCACGTGATGTGAGGACACAGTTATTTCGGAGCCTGCTGAGTGGCTCCAGATATGAATTTTTACTTCACTTGGGTTTTTATTGCCCAAAGTGCCGCGGAGACATTAAGGCGCAGAAATCTCTCCTGCTTAGCGGCTGATTAAAACCTGTTTTGGTGAAATCGCCGGATTTAATGAAAGAAAAGTTCCCTTGTGTCGACCTTTATTGGGTTCTGACGTATTTAGCCAGCAGTAATGAGCAGCTTTACCTCAGCCTCTGGGAATAAAAGACCCATAAACCGATCTCCCCAAAGCACTAAACAAATGCACTGAAATTCAGCTTTTCCTGAAATTATTACATTATATTAGTACCAGGAACTGGCTGATGGAGAAGTGTGCTGTGCATTAATAATGTGCAGTCCTGTAGCACAGTAGTTAGAGCCCTCGCCTCACGAACGAGAGGACCTGGGTTTGATTCCTGGGCAGGGCGATACGTTTGGGCAAGTTTCCTTACTCCACCTAATTAGCAGTAATTAGGAATCCAGTTGTTTGTCGACTGGCAGAACTCTTCTCCGAGGTTAATAATCCCTTCAAAAAAAAAAATAATAATTTGGTCACTCAATCCACGACTGTTTGTGGGACCCTGCTGTGCGTTTCGTCCACAAAATGTGCAGTCACTACACTTCACAGTATATTTTGTGAAGCTCTTTGAGATGTCTCGAAGATGTGATAAGGCACTATATCAATTGCAAGGGTTATTATTATTGACTATGGGGGAATGAGCCACTGGCTTCAGTGAACGTAACATAAGAATTAGGAGCAGGAGTAGGCCATTTGGCCCCTCGAGCCTGTGCCCCGCCATTTAATAAGACCATGGCTGATCTTCTGACCTGATTCTAATTACCTGCCCTATCCCCATATCCCCTAATCCCTCTGTTTTTTAAGAATCTTATCAGTCTCAGCCTTGAAAATGTTCAAAGGGGAGGAATCTTATGTCTCCGCACAGATGCTGGTGGTGTTTAAGTCGGCTCCGATCCTGAAGCGGGCGCTGAAAGTGAAGCAGGCGATGATGCAGCTGTACGTGCTGAAGCTGCTGAAGGTGCAGACCAAGTACCTGGGCCGCCAGTGGCGGAAAAGCAACATGAAGACCATGTCAGCCATCTACCAAAAAGTGAGGCATCGGCTGAATGACGACTGGGCCTACGGCAACGGTACGTGAGCGCTCAGAAGTTCCAGTTTCAGCCACTACGCCCCCAAACTGTAGAACACACTTCCTCTTATCTCTCCACCTCACCTCGCTCTCTCCTTCCTTCCCCGTCTTCAGGCTACGCCTGAGGTCCTTCCATGCTCCTGTCACTGTTGAGCGCTCTGGAATGCTACCTTGCATGAGGGGAGCTGTGTAATAAATGCAGCCAGTGGTGCACAGCAGTGACCCACAAACAGTCGTGGATTGAGTGACCAAATTTTTTTTTAGACATAGTCTAAGCTGACACTGCACTGGGAGGAGGCGATGTTCTCCTTCGGATGAGACGCTAAAATTGAATGACGTTCTTTACTTTCAGATCTTGACGCCCGGCCTTGGGATTTCCAGGCTGAGGAATGTGCCTTGAGAGCCAATATAGAACGTTTTAATAACCGCAGATACGACAAGAACCCCAGCAACCCAGACCTGGCTCCGGTGGACAACTGCTTACAAAGTGTCCTGGGACAGCGCTTGGACCTGCCGGAGGAATTTCAGATAAACTATGATCTGTGGCTGGAAAGGGAAGTGTTCTCTAAGCCCATCTGCTGGGAAGAGCTGCTACAATAACCCTGGAACTCGTTTCTGTTTGACGCTCAGCGGTGGGAGTCATTTTTTTTTGTCGTCTTGTGAAACGCAGCCGCAGTCCTCCTCATGAGCATTATTTACTAACGGTTTCTTTGACAGGTGGCACGAGATTATGCCGTAAAAGCTTGATTTATAATCTCGGGAATACCTGCTACAAGCCAACATACATTTTATATCTAATATGTATATCTATGTAGATATATATATTAAAAAAAAAGCTTTTGAACTTGTGATAAAGGGAAAGGGAACCCATTAAGCAGCAGGCTTCATTGGGGTGAGCTGTGGTACCTCTTCGTGCAGGTTACGATATTGCTTACATTTTGTTAGTGATAATAATAGTAAACCTTGCATTTGATATAGAGCCTCATCTCCTCTTCGAGATATTATAACCTCTTCAGTGATCTTGCAGTCACGTCTGGAGAGATGTGTTCCTTAACCAGATATAAAATTGCACAGGACCAAATTCGCGTCACTTCAGTTCTGTCGAATTCCAAAGGAACAAGGCTATCCATATGGTCCCATCATGCAGAATTCCTGACTGGAACACAATCTTGATTCAAACATCTGGTAATTCCACGATAATTATCTTTAACAAGCGCTGAATCTAGTTGCTTCACTGCCAAGAAACTAGAACGCTTTCATCCCCAATCAAGTTTTTTTTCTCAATTGTGGAGTCCTGTAGTTCAGTGGTTAGAGCACTTGCCTCGCAAGCGAGAGGACCCGGGTTTGATTCCTGGGCAGGGCGAAATGTTGGGCAAGTTTCCTTAATCCACGCGCCTTTGTTTACCAGTAGTAAGTAGGAACCCGTTTGTTAGTCGTTTGGCGGATCGCTTTTCCGGGGATAATAATCCCTTCAAAAATAAATAAAAATAATAATTTGGTCACTCAATCCACGACTGTTTGTGGGACACTGCTGTGCGTAATTGGCTGCTGCGTTTCGCCCACAAACCATTAATTCACAATTTACAGTATATTCTGCAAAGAGCTTTGAGACGTGATATTAAATGCCAGGATTATTATATATGATTATGTTTCCCCCGCCGCCCCTTCCCTCAGTTTAGATATGAGCTGCTGTGACAGTCACTATCGTGTCTGGATCAGGGGAAAATGAAGGCAGTGGAGATTCCAAGCTGCTGTGTGCTCGAGTCCTGTGGGCCACAGTACTCTTCTCTGCGTCTATTTTATTCTGTTTCCATTCCTGTGTTTTTTAATGTCTTCTGATGTATTTTAATAACTTTCACATTCCCTTCAGTTTCCCGTTTTCTTCCTTTAATCTGACACGCTCACACTGGCTCGCTTTCAATTGATATTTGCTGAATCTTGGATATAAATTATTTATGTTAAGAGAAATCGGGATGGGGGGGGTGGGCGAGGAATTAATCCACGTGTGATGCTGTATGTTTTCCTCTTGACTCCTTTTCCTTTTCGCATCCTGGTTGGTGGTTGTGGTTTAAGTGGGATCAACTGCATAGGTTTTTTTTCCCCAACTGTTTGCGGCGAGGGGAAGGGAAGCTTCTTGAATTTGTGGTTTGAGGAGAGAGTGCTGTGTAATAATAGCAAGCTATATATTCCTTTTGTATGGTGTTCCTGTAACAGATATGTTTTATAGAATGGTTCATGTGAAAATCTTGGCGTGTGTGCGTGTGCACCGGGGTGTGCAGTAAAATGGCTACTTTTGTAAATATGTCCGATTTGGAATTGAATATTTTCTGTTGTATTTTGCTTCAATTTCTTGCATAATTGTGTACCCAAAGGTGGGGATTACTGTGTGTGAGTGAGTGGGTGGGTGGGTGGGTGAGAGAGATCCCGTGTGGAATTCTTGTCTGGTTTGGATTACTCTTTAAGCACAGGGATTGGTTTCCGCATGTGCCCGGCTGACAAAAAACTACTTGGATGTCGCAGTCTTATGATGGCTGACCAGGTGAGTAGAGGGTAATAACTGCAGGGAGCACAAGAGATGTAGAGAGGAGTTGGATTGGATTGCCAAGCAATGGCTTTCACTTGTGCTGTCGATCCTGAATAAAGCCTCCCTCCCTCCCGTCTGAATATTGTAAGAGAAAAAGGGGCAACACAACTCTGAAGAGGTTGAAGGTTGAAGCTCAATGCGAGGGCTGCATTGTCAAAGATGTCACTCTTCCGCTTCATATGAACAAATAAGTTATTTCACTTTCAGGAGCTCAGTGTGTAACAACTCTGCAATGGTTCAATGTGGTGAGGCTTTGCATTTAATGATAGTGTCGTTATTAATTCCCAGGACCGCAGCGTTTGGAGTGAGTGGGTGGCCGGACACCTGGAGTAATTATCTTGAACAAGTAAGTACTATTGGAGTAAGTAGCGAGTTTGGTTGGAGGCACGGGAGAGGAGGAAACAGATTCCCCAGGTATGATTATCACTGTAGCTTGCACCGATCGCACAGTTCACCTGAGCACTTCATTCTGTTTCGGCGCATGAGGCGAGAGGAAGGGTAGTGAGAGGCAAGTGGACATTTCGTATGAAATGCAGAACATTGATCTGGGTTTAGCAACTGGGTGCGGAGTCAGTTGGTACTCTAGGATGCTTCTGGCCTTCGGTTTTCCACCTGCCCTGTTAGAGCGCTCGCCTCACAAGTGAGAGGACTAGGGTTCCATTCCATTCCTGGCCGAAACGTTGGGCAAGTTTCCTTACTCCACACACACGCCTCTGTTTACCCAGCAGTAAATAGGAACTTGGTTGTTAGTCGATTGGCAGATCGCATTTCCAGGATAATAATCTGGTTGTAACAAAAAAAAATAGTTTGGTCACTCAATCCACGATTGTTTGTGGGACACTGCTGTGCGCAATTGGCTGTTGTCATAAAGCGCTGCAATGCAAGTTCTTTCTATGACTTGGCTATGGATTCCAGCATCATTAAACATCTACATCATATTCAGCAAACCAGCAGATGCAGGATGTAGGAAGAGGTGGGAGTCGGAGAGTGAAAGGTGCCAGCTCTGAGCTTCTCGTTTCATATCCCAGGCTCCCAATAAATGTCCATGTATACTGTATAAACGTAATGAATTTACATGCCAGTGAAACCCCAAACTATTGGCGCTCACAATGCATGAGGGTCTGATTAAAAAAACTATTGTGAGTTAACGTTCAACAGTAGTGTAGAATCCTTCTAGAGAGAGGCTCAATTTATGAGCCTCTCTCCACCTGGCTCGGTGTCAGACTCCGCCACTGTCGAGCACTCCGGGACACTACGCCGCGTGAAGGGCGCTATGCAAATGCAAGTTGTTGAGTCTGCACGCTCACTGGCTTCAGGAATTCTTTCCACTTCGGGCCCAGTCCCGCTCAGTATGAATCCTGGAAACCCGGAATCCAGTAAACCAGGATATTTCTATTGATCTTATTCCGAAAGACGATTTATGTGGGTGAAATGTTTTTTTAAAAATATTGTTTTGCAATGACTCGCTCCTCATTCTCTCCCTCTCGCCCTCTCAATTTATGAGCTATTACAGAAAGATGGGACTTGCTTTACGGCTGTTGTTTTAAAAGTCCTCTCGTTTCTATTTTGCTATTCTATTGGCGTTGGATTGCCCTTAAGTGCCTATTCTTTATTGGAGGGAGCACGAAAGCAGCCTTTGCAGTTGTGAATCTTCCAGATGTGGACGGTATCTGTATGGCTCTAGAACACTGACGACCTCCGCAGCCCCTTTATATTGGGAACCCAGGGAATTTAGTTGCCGGGCATCACTTTGGACGCAATGTGCTGTTAAATCTCCATATCACCTGCGACAGCATCTTTCATTTCGCTCTTAAAAATGTTTTTTTTTAATTTCTCTCTCATTGTTTTTTTTCTCTTTTCCTCCGCTCACACTTGTTTCTTCTCTCTCCGATCCCAACCAAAACCCAAACCGCATTAGGACCGGGCGTGGAGTGTGTCCCGCCGCTCCAGGAGTTGAGAGGAGATATTGCGGGGTGCCAGAGGTGGCTATTTTTGGGGGGGAGGGAAGAGGCCGGTGGGTCAGCCACGCGTCTGACGCACTCCTCATTCGTGCTTAAGGGAATCCAAACCCGGCTGAGAGTTCCGTACATCCCACCTACAAAGGGGCGTGGAAATTCCTGTCTCTGGAATGGAATGTATTCCATGTGTCCCTCTCTCCTCGGAGGGACACATCCTGCTCAACTAGTGCCGAGAGGGAGAGTGGGGCGCAGAGAGGGTCCAAATTCTCACACGTCACGTGAAGCCGCAATACCAGGACACACGGTAGGGGGCGCCAGTGCCCTGCGGTGGTGCGTCTGCCATTCCCTTCACTGCACTTTGCCGGAGGACATGGGTGGAAGGCCATTTGGCTCCTGTGGTGGTTTCAGCTTGGCATGTGGTGGCGTAATGAAGCCGTTTTGCCAAAACTAATGCTGCAGGGAAGCATATATTTCGGATGAAAGCTTAGCCAGGATCTCTGGGGAGGATTAAGCGGGAAGCAGAACGAGAGGATAAATTGGGTGGGAGGATGGGGTGGGGTGGGGGAGAGGGAAGGATGGTTACTGTCGAATTTTAAAGGGAAGATGGCCAGAAAATCTATTTGTAAGACGCGAAAAAGAGACTGAAGGAGGTCAAACGTAACCGACACAATATACAGTCAAATCGCTCCCACGAAGCGTTGCAGATGTTAAGAAATTCGGTCATTGCACATCGGCCAACAGTCGTCCATTCGTGGCCGTTTATGACATTGCTGTGTGCAAATTGGCCGCTATATTCTCTTAAACACGCGCGCGCAGTCACTGCACTTTATAGTATATCCTGCCAACATCAAAGGTGGTGCATCAAATGTAAAGATTGTTATTATTTTATTAAAGAAATATAATTTGTGTTATGTTGGAAGGAAGCCAAATTTTGACCTACGTGTCGATGATCTTAGCAAGGCTGTGCAGATCCCTTGACAGCTCAGTGAGTGTATCCGATGAATAAGAACATAAGAATTTGCTGGTGAAAAAAAGCCCAAGGTCCATCTAGTTCGCTTTCCACCATCCGGGCAGTCGCTTGACGTGTCGTGTCCCAAACTATACATCGTATTCCGAGATATCTTTTTCCGGCAGAAATCTATCGAGTTTGTTCTTGAAACAGACGACACTTTCTGCTGTCTCCCTGGGGAGCCTGTTCCATACGTTTACAACTCACTCACTAAAGTAGTGTTTCCGCAGATTTGTTCTGAATTTTCTCCTGCTTCAATCGCAGGCTGTGCCTTCTGAAGGATAGTTGAGGCATAGGGTTGATCCCCTTTCTCTGTGTTGAGCCACAAAGAAACTCAGATATTTCCCTTTGGAACATTTAGGATTATTGGACTGCTGAGATGAATATATTTCTTCCTGTAATGAATGACCATTATCTTACAAGTGCATTTTTGTAACACACAAGAGAGTATGTTCAGTTGCTGAATTGAGTCCAACACTTTTCCTGTGCGGATCTGGCTATAGTAGCGTAGAACAGTGGAAAAGGAGGGATTTTCCACTGAGACTATTAAATCATTCTGGGCTTAGTTTCAAGCTCTGTTGACAGGGGGAAAAATCCATGAAAAGTCTTCAGAGATCCCATAAACTATTGAAATTGGAGATCATTTTAATGGACTGGCCATTATGTGGGAATGCGCCTACAGGCCAGCAAGTGATGAGTGGAAGTTTTCAAATGCTCCCCCTAGTCACAATAAAGAATAAAATTTGGGTGTGGTGTCGTTGAGATAAAGATAATTTAGGTACATCAAATATATCAAATAATAATAATAATCCTTGCGTTTGAAATAGCGCCTTACCACATCTTCGAGACGTCTCAAAGTGCTTCACAGAATATACTGTAAAGTGAACTATTTCTATATTTTGTGGCAAAATGC